ACATTTTATTCCTTTTTAAATATGTCCCTTTAACATATTTTGTAATACTAGTTATGTGGCAGTGAACTTTTAAAAATAATTTTCTTGTCTGGGTAGCTCTTTATCTCACCTTCATATATAAATTATAGTCTTGTTTGGTAGAATAGCCTTCATTGTAGGTTTTTGTTGTTGTTTTTACTTTGGTTATTTTGTGCCAATCCTTTCTGCTCTGCAAATTTTTTGTTGAGAAATAAGCTGACATTGTATTGGAGCTTCCTTGTACATAACTGCTTTGCTCTGCTGCTTTTAAGATTCTCTTTTATCTTTATTTTTTGGCATTTTAATTATGATTTGTGTTGGTCTGAGTTGTTTAGGATTTTATGTTTGGGACACTCTGTGCTCCCTGAAATTGTATGTGTATTTCCTTCACCAGATTAGAAAAATTTTCCATTATTATGTTTTCAAATAGGTTTTGATGTCTTTCTTCTCTTTCTAGTACCTCTGTGATACAAATGTTGGTATGCTTGATGTTGTCCTAGAAGTTTCTTAATCAATCCTTATTTATTTGATTCTTTTTTTCTTTTTGCTGTTCAGATGGGATGTGTTTTTTTTTCCTTTGTCTTTCTAAACTGATTTGAACCTCTGCCTCATTTGGCCTACTGTTGACTCATGTTCTTCATTTCAGTTATTGTGTTCTTCATTACTCATTGGCTTGTTTTTATATTTTATATTTTCATTTTTATGTTTATTCTCTGTTGAAGTTCTCAGTGGGTTCATCTCTCTTCCCCTAAGTTCATTGAGCATCCTTATAACCGGTGTTTTGAACTCTGCACCTGTTAGATTGCTTGTCTCCATTTTGTTAAGTTCATTTTCTGGAGTTTTTTTTCCATTTGGGGCATAGTTCTTTCTCTCCTTATTTATGCTGCCTCTCTGTATTAGGTTGACCTGCTACATTTCCTGCTCTTTGAAGATTGGCCTTATGTGGTACGTTTCAAGCGGGGCCGAGTGGTACAGCCTCCCTGTCACCTGGTTGGGTTCTCTAGGTCTTTCCTTTGTGTGGGTTGTGTGCCCTTGGTTGTAGTTGAGTCTTTATTGCTGTTGTGATGTCAGTGGGAGGGGTTGACCCTGAGTCTGACAGGCAGTGAGGAATGTCTGTGGCTATAGCAGATGAGCTGTTGTGCAGGGACTGGCCCGTGGAGTGGAATTTGTTTTAGCGGGGCTCTGCTCCTGCTGAACCTGCCTTTAGGGTTTGGCATTTGTGGGCTGATTGGGTGGTCCTTTGTTTTGTTCTGAACCTGGCCACCAGGTATATTGCTTCTGGGGCCTTTGTGGGGGCGGGGGGATGCTCTGGTTCGGGCCAAGGTCAGCCACTGCCTGTGTCCTGCCCAGGGCTACCTGGTAGGAGGTACAAAGTGATCTGCAGAAGGTTGCCACCTGTGCTTGGCTTGGAGGCACCTGGGAGAGGCTAAGTAGAGAACTGATCCAGCTTCCACTAGTTTCTTGCTTAAGGCAGCTTAGCAAGTGGTAATGGGCCTGCTGGGGCCAGATGCGACTTGTTTGGTATTTTTGAACTTTAGAGATATTTCAGGAACATGCACACTGCGACCTGAGGTGACCAGTCTGTTTGGGAATGAGGTTGGAGCAGGAACGTGATTTTGGTCAGTCAGGATTCAGGGAATCACCAGGGAAGGGTGATTGGTGTTAAGTAGTTTAGTGGATAGCTTAGATATGGTGCCCATTGAGCTTCAGGCTGGGTGTGGGGAGGACTCAACAAAGGAACAATGATGTCCACCAGCACTTCTGTCCTTGTATTGAGCCGCCCTAACCCCTGCCCCTCCAGCCCTCACCCTAAAATTAATAAATCCAGCCCCTTGCCTCCATATGTCCCTGGCACTTTTCATGCTGCTTCCCCAGTGCTGGAGATCAGAACAAATTGTGTTTAAAAGTGAGTCTGTGCATAGGTCTCCAACAGCCCTTCATCTCACTCACTGCCATCCCCACAGTTAGAAGTTGTGGGGTCTGGCTCTGAAGCCTTAGGCCGGGGAGCCTGGTGTGGGGCTGGGACTGCTTGCTCCTCAGGTGTTCTCCACAGCTGAGAGAGCACTCCCATTTCTTAACTCCACAACGTGGATGTGGGGCCTGTTCAGACCAGGTCTCTGCCTCTCCCACAAGTCTCCAGTGGCTTCTTCTTTATACCCTTAGTTCTAGGAGTTCTGTTCAGCTACTCTTCAGGTGGTTCTCAATGATAGGTCTTCTATAATTTTGTTGTAATTTTGATGCAGCAATGGGAGCAGATGAGTATAGCAATGACCTACTCCACCATAGTGAAGGGAAGTCTGTTTGCTTTCATTTTTTTTTTCCATTTTATTTTTTATTTATTTATTTATTTGTTTTTTAAATCTTTATTGTTCAGATTATTACATTTGTTCCTCTTTTTCCCCCCATGACTCCCCTAGTTCCCGCCCCACCCTCCGCCCTCACTCCCCACCCACTGTCCTCATCCATAGGTGCACGATTTTTGTCCAGTCTCTTCCCGCATCTCCCACACCCCTTTCCCCCCCAAGAATAGTCCAATCCCTTTCTATGTCCCTGATTCTATTATGATCACCAGATTATTTATTCACTTGATTCTTAGATTCACTTGTTGATAGATGCATGTTTGTTGTTCATAATTTGTTTCTTTACCTTTTTCTTCTTCTTCCTCTTCTTAAAGGATACCTTTCAGCATTTCATATAATCCTGGTTTGGTGGTGATGAACTCCTTTAGCTTTTCCTCATCTGTGAAGCTCTTTATCTGACCTTTAGTTCTGAATGATAGCTTTGCTGGATAAAGTAATCTTGGTTGTAGGTTCTTGGTATTCATCACTTTGAATATTTCTTGCCACTCCCTTCTGGCCTGCAAAGTTTCTGTTGAGAAATCAGCTGACAGTCGTATGGGTATTCCCTTGTAGGTAACTGAGTTTCTTTCTCTTGCTGTTTTTAAGATTCTCTCTTTGTCTTTTGCTCTTGGCATTTTAATTATGATGTGTCTTGGTGTGGTCCTCTTTGGATTCCTTTTGTTTGGGGTTCTCTGCGCTTCCTGGACCTGTAAGTCTATTTCTTTCACCAGGTGGGGGAAGTTTTCTGTCATTATTTCTTCAAATAGGTTTTCAATATCTTGCTCTCTCTCTTCTTCTGGCACCCCTATAATTCTGATGTTGGTACGCTTGAAGCTGTCCCAGAGGCTCCTTACACTATCTTCGTATTTTTGGATTCTTTTTTCATTTTGCTTTTCCGGTTGGGTGTTTTTGCTTCTTCGCATTTCAAATCATTGACTTGATTCTTGCACTCCTCTGGTCTGCTGTTGGGAGTCTGTATAATATTCTTTATTTCAGTCGGTGTATGCTTAGTTTCTAGTTGGTTCTTTATCATAGCATCGAGGGTCTCATTAGATTTCTTGTAGATCTCATTAAGTTTATCGGCGGCTTCTAGACAGTTCTTGAGAGCCCTTAAAAGTGTGGTTCTGAACTCTCTATCTTCCATTGACAATTTTGTCCTGTTTCTTTGTCTCTGCATTTTTTATGCTTTCTTGGTGCACCCCCTAGTGGTCTTTGTGTGCAGTTTTGTTGTAGTTAAGCCTTGATTGTTGTCGTTGATACTGGGGGGATTTGACCTCCAGGCCAATTGGCTGTGAGAATCAGCTGTGTCTGCAGTGGGAAAACTTCTGTCCTCTGGGGAGGTGCTAATCTAGCCTTTGCCTGAGGCTATCCGGCAAATGACTCTGTGCAGGGCTTGGGCGGGGCGGGTCGCACAGGATCAAACAGGGCAGGCGGAGCGAGCATTTATGGCTGCTCTCAGTTCCATCCCTAGGGGCTCTGCCTCTCAGAGTCCCAGCAACCACTGCAAACCTCGGAGAGAAAGCTGCCTTCGAGTTCCGACCAAAGCCAGACAGTCCGGCTTCTCCCGTTTGAGTCTGGGTCCCTAGAGACTCGCCCGGCTCTGGAGCTCAGAGTCTGAAGCTCCCTCCCGATTGAAAACAACAACCGCGCCCTCTGCCGCCAGCCTGCTCCGCGAGCACTCCGCACCTGAGAATTTCACTTCAGCACTGCGCCTCCTCTGAGTCTGGGTGTGATATTCTCTTTCCTCCTACTTGTAGAATTTCCACTCAGCCAGCCTTCCTGTGGTTCTGGATGATGTCCGTTCCGTCTTTTAGGTGTAATTTGAATTGGTTGTTTGAGGCAGCAATCTCCGGCGTTAACCTATGCCGCCATCTTGGTTCTCCTGTTTGATTTCATTTTTAATTTATCTTTGGTGTCAAAATTATAAGAATGATTTGGTTTATAGAGCAATGTAACGGATATGAAGTCTTTTAAATCTAGATTATTTTTAAAATTTAGGCTGAGGAAAAGAGGAGCTGTATCTTGAGTAGATTTATCACACAGATACTCTTGAATATAATTTTGTTCAGGAAAGTAGATTAAGAAAACACTTACCACTTTGTCAATTTTCTGATGTTGACATAGTTTCTGGATATTATAGTATTCTTCACAGTTATCATGAAACTTTTACCTTCTTGTCATGTATACAGATAGTTAAATTGTATATATAGGAACATACGACTTGAGCTGAATATGGTGATTTCTTACTTCTTCAACTCACTAACTGATGAGGATACTTATGTATTGGTATATATGTGTCTGTGTATAATATGCACATACATATTAGAAATCTGAAACAGTTTTATTAGCCTGTGGACTAGATGGACTGCTGTTTCCAATAAAATGATGTATTATACTACCAACACCAAATTTAATAAACAAGAAAAAATTGAGACACTTTTAGGAAAGGGTTTACATTCAAGCACCTGAGTTTTCATCAGTGTGATTCATCATCTTGCACCCCCATGTGGTAAGGCGAGGCTGTGCTGTCCTGATCACAAGCCACAATGGTTACTCCCTACCATACCTATGTATGCCACTCCCCTGCTCTCCAGCTGTCAGTCCTTTGCTTCCCGCTTCCCACCGTGTTTGTAATTCCCACAGCTGGCCCATTGGAAGAAGAGCGGTTTGGTTTCCCTTCATTCAGCGGAGTTTCTTGCCTGACCTGGCCTCTCTCGCTCTTCAGGGAACTTTCTCTCGTGTCTGCCACTTTGGAAGAGCGAAAGGAAGATCAGTACCTGAAAATGACTGTGTGCTTGGAGACAGAGAACAAACGGTAGGTTGTGGGAAACCGTGAAGAGAAGAAAACTTAAGGACATTCTCCCGTGTTCATCAGGGTGAATCTAGAGGGAACCTGGTGGGCCTACACCCTTAGCCCCAACTCCAGAAGGGCTGCCTGCTTTTGCTAACAGGACATTTACTGAGATTTCACATATATTGCTCTATTTCCTCTTCACAGAAGCCTTGAAAGGTAAATAAGACAAACATGATACCCTTGGCTAGTAAGTAAACAGAGACTTACAGAATTTGAGCAGGTTGCCTGAGCCATACAAGTGAGCAATATCAGACCTAGTAGCTTCTGTGGCCTGAATATTTCCCAAAATTCTATATAATAAAAGTGCAATATGCAAATTGACTGAACTGCAGAACAACCAGTTGGCAGGGGGTGGGGCTGGCAAGCAGGTGGTGCCAGGCCAGCCAAGGCTCATGCCAGTGGGCAGAGGGAGGGAACGGTGATGGGCTTGGGGGACCAGCAATGGTGGAGAGGCTATGGGGGGGCTGGCACTGTCCCCTAATCAGCCTGTCTGGTTGCCTCCGCAGAGGGAGGCCAGGTGGCAGCAGTGGCAGGGTGATGGGGGTGGCGCCGTCCCCTAATCGCCCATCCGGTCACTTCCTACAGAGGGAGGCTGGATGGCAGCAGTGAGGTGATGGGGGCAGCACCATCCCCTGATTGGCCGGCCCGGTCACCTCTGCAGTAGGACATCTCCTAAGGATTCCTGGACCGTGAGAGGGAGAAGGCCGGGCTGAGGGACCCTCAACCCCAGTGCATGAATTTTCGTGCACTGGGCCTCTAGTTTTATTATAAAAGTTTAAGACATATAGTGAGGTTGAAAGAATTTTGCAGTGAACACCCTTACAAATACCACCTAGATCAGGGGTGGGCAAACTTTTTGACTCGAGGGCCACAATGGGTTCTTAAACTGGACCGGAGGGCCGGAACAAAAGCATGGATGGAGTGTTTGTGTGAACTAATATAAATTCAAAGTAAACATCATTACATAAAAGGGTACGGTCTTTTTTTTCAATAGTTTTATTCATTTCAGACGGGCCGGATCCAGCCCGCGGGCCGTAGTTTGCCCACGGCTGACCTAGATCCTGCCATTAATATGTTACCTTGCTTGCTTATCACATGTCCAAAATTCGTCTCTCAGTGTGATCAAAATTTAAGGTTCTGTTTATCATCACATCATACTATCATACTGTTCCACAAACATTCTGATTATTTCTCATACCAAGTCTTTTTCAACAAAAACACATTTATAAATTTCCTTTAAAAGCATTTCAGCTCTGTAAAATATTTAAAACAGCTAAAGTTTTAGAGTGCCTATGTGTATTTCCAAGTAGGTGGGTCTCTTGGTAGTAAAATAAACAGATCATTGGGTATTTAAAAAAGAGAAAATTAATTTAATTCCTGAGTGAAACCTGATGTCCATTTTGAGGAGTCTCCTCTTTGCTAGGAAAAGGCAGAGGTAACAGATGACGGTGAAACATGCAGAGGGTGGCCCTGGCTCTGATGCTGGTCACGTGGAATTGCAGCCGTGTCCACTGTTAGGGTCTGTCCCCTGCGTTCAGAGGTAAAGGTAGCTCAGGGTGCTGCAGGAGTGCAGGGAACAGGCAACTGGAGAGGTCAGATCATGCTTCTTAGAGGAGGAGGTGCTGTGCTCCATCGTGGAGTGGGAATCAGACAGGAAGCAAGAGCTGACTCGCATTGCAAAGCATTGGGTGAAGGTTGGGCAGATGGCAAATACCACAGTTGTTAAATTCATATAATACTCTCCACCTCACAAATGGCATTTTTAATTTCACCACCATCACCACCACAACGTAGGTAAAGATGTGTACTCGTTATTTACTTTTACCGTTAGGAAGTTGAAGTGGAGGAAACATCCTGACATTTTGTATCCCCTCAAATTCTAAGGCTGTGTGTTACATGGAGGGGTCTGAGAAATTGTCTTAGGTAGATTAAAATATTTGGAGTATCTCAAGTGGTTTTTGTCTGGTGTTAAAGCAGTTAATAAGGAGCCTTGATATTCATCTTTATCATCACATTCTGGAATGTTTGTAAAGGCTGTATCATGAGTTTTAAAGCTAGCCACAGGCTGACACTAATATCATGTCACTTGTCATCTCTACCTCAATAAAGCAAACACAAAACAGAATCCTAAAAAACTAGCTATGAAATTAACTTTTTAAAATATATTTTTATTGATTTCAGAGAAGAAGAGAGAGATAGAAACATCATTGGTGAGAGAGAATCATTGGTCGGCTGCCTCCTGCACGCCCCCTACTGGGTATCGAGCCCGCAACCCAGGCATGTGCCCTTGAACAGAATCGAACCTGGGACACAGGCTGATGCTCTATCCACTGAGCCAAACCGGCTAAGGCTAAAGTTAACTTTTTAGAAGAATTTATACCAACTTTTTTATAGAGGTTATAATAATCATGTTTTTTTTTTCATTTGAGTCATAACCAAAAAAAATTTAATTGATAGATTTGAACACCTTACAAGTTTAGTAATTTAATTTAATTACTGTTTACTAAGAGTCTTTGCCTGACCTGAATGTGAACATCACATTTATGGGTTGGTGTTGATTCACACATGGATCATGTTAGTGGCTTCCAGAACAGGCAACTTGCTGAACTACAGTTCTTTAAGCAGATGGGTCCCTGCTTGGTTTACGGACCTTGTGGGTAGTGTGCTGTGTGAGGAAAGCCTTTTATCCTGTGCGTGCAGCTCTTGCTTCTGACTCTGCCTGGGAAGAATGCGTTGGGATCTGCGAGCCACTTTTCTCTTTTCCCCCCAGATCTTTTCTTAGTCTGCAGGCCAGATTTTGTAAGTAGCTATTTTTCCAGGCCTTGTCACTGCACACGAGAAGCCTCTGTCGGTTGTTTCCAGGTACAAATTGTTAAGTTGCGGCTATCTCCAAACAGCAGAGTGGCATGGAGCAGAGCCACAGCAGGAGATGGGGAGAATGGGAGGCATGATCTTCTAAGGCCACAACAGAAGAACTAGCAAGACAGGGATCGTTACTTGAAACCCTGTTGTACAATTGCTAGAATTCACTCATGTTTTTGTCCGGCATGTGCTGGTGTCAAAGTCTTCTTTGAGAAGGTAATGAAGGAATCCTTTCCCATAAAAATGCACATACGCATGGGAAGAATTTTCACAAAATCTCAGGTGGTTCGTGGATTGCCTGTAGTTCCTATCTGTCTCCCCTAGAGGGACCCATAAGACTCAGAGTAAAAACTCCTAAATAACAAAGTGGTGGTCACAAAAAGCACTGCATGAATTCCCCTGTCCGTGGCAAAATTAAAGGACTGTTTGGCACTAAAGTTGGAAATGATCACCCATGACCTTTGGGAGGCTGGTGGAGGTTGGGTTGCCACCTTAGCCACCTCGGGGAGCAGCAGCTGCAGGAAGGTGGCTACAAAACGAGGACCTGTTCCCGGGAGGCAGCAGGCAATCCCTGGTGCCTGTGTGTACTCTCTAACATCACGTTCTTTTGTTTTTGCAGCCCACTGACATGGATCGAGGAGAAAGGGCCTGGTCTAAAACGAAACCGGCATTTAAGCTTCCATTTCAAATCTGGGTCCCTAGAGAATGTGCCAAATGTAGGAGATAATAGGAATATTTTTCTGAAAGATCAGACTATATTTGTCCAGAAACTCTTGGGCCAGATTTCTGAAGTGGAACTGGCTGCTGAAAAGAAACGCATCCTGCACTGCTTGTGGCTCGCGGAAGAAATCCAGAAACGCTGTGGCTAAAAGAGAAAAGAAAGCAGCGGGCTCTTGCGACGTGAAACCATAGTTTGATGTTTATCGAGAGTTGATTTTACCTCTGTTCTTGCAATTAAACACGTCTTGGGGAAACAGGTTCGCTATTGTCGCTGGTTGTATGGCGCGTGGTATTGAGAGTAGAGGCACATGTGGTGGGGTGAGGAAAGAGCTCAGCTTGCTTACGCTGATCCAATGCTTTGTATGCCTGATTTCATTTACTCTCTCCAACCACCCTATGAGAAGGGGATTACCAGGCTTGTTTTCGTTAGTCTATTGGAAAGTCTTGCTTTTAACCCCACTTGGGCACTCCACCACTACAAAATAGTCCCATGAGCCTTAGTCCCTGCTTTCGGGCATTTTATTTTCTCACAAACGTTCACTAGTCGGCTATGCTAAGTACGCAGGTTTCTTAAAATGAATGAGAGGTAGCCACTGCCCCCAATAACTCACAGTGTCATAAAGGAACCAGTTACATAAACCGGTCATTGTAATGTAGTAGGTTCAATAAAAAAATATATATCCCTGGCCATCTGGAAAGGAGTTCAGGGAGATACTGACCATGAATAAGTCAGCTGTGTAAAGCTGAGAGCAGGGCCTTCCTGCAGGGAGCTCACATAAGGGAATGGAAGCAGCCTGGTGAGTGCCATGGGAACACTTACTGGAGGAGGGAGGCCTGAGAGGCAAGCCTTAGCCTGGAGGACCCTTTCACCAGGGGAAGGCACTGGCATGTTACTTATCAGGCAGTGCAGGTGCACTGAAAGGTGCCATTTAATAGGGGAGTGGCATGGTCAGTTGAGAGCCAACAGATATGCTTGTGCTTTCAGCCTTTGGCCCTGTCTGGACTTGTCCCTGATATTGAGTCAGACTCTGCTGAACTTGAGGACCAATCAAGTCCCAGGAAGCTGCTTTGTTTCATCAGAGGTCCTATTGCATTTTCTTCAAAGCTGGGTTTGCTTTCTTGCTTCTGTAAATCCTCCACCTTTTTTTTTGCCTCCTCCTCACTTGCCATTAATCAGTTCAAAGTCCTTGAGATTGTTAACGTAAAAAACCATTGAAACCTGTAAAGAATCTTTGTGAGTTTATTTGAGCCAAACTGTCGACATATGCCGGGAAGCAGAACCTCAATGAATTGAGATAGTGCTCCGGAGAATGGCAGGGTTACATCCGTATTTATACATGAAATTCATTGGTGACAGATTTAAGGAGGTGGGATTAAGCGAAGCGGGGGAAACCTCTGTGATAGGATAAAAAGTAAAATGATGGACACATACTTAGGTGGGTGCAGGATCAATCAACATGATAATGAAGGAATTTGTAGTATCTGCCCTGGCGCCCAGAACATTTGGTTATGCCCCAGGGGTTCCAGAAAAAGGGAAGTTACAAGTTACCCAGACACTTCAAAGGAATGTTATCTTAGAGGCAAAAAGGCAAATGGGCTCAGTAAGGATCAAAGTTGATCTTGTCAGTGAAGATACTGGCCTAGGACATAACTGCCCACCATAACTGCTTTTAGTTAAAGTTTAATTTCAGACCATCCTTTGTGGTTATTTTAGGTCTCTGAGTCTGCTAGGCTGCCACGCAGGCCTTCCCTGAGCTTGTCAGGTCAGCGTGTGGCCCCTTTCGTCCACAAGGTCATTGATGGAGGCAAACTCTATTTTTTTTTTTACCTGTTTATATTATTCCATCACCATAGAACATCAAGGTAAATAAAGCAAATATATTAATTTAAATATTTTTCAAGCCTTATGGTTATTCTTATACTTGCCATATAAAATAATTTGTAATAAATATTAGTCAATTTATTTTCTTAGTTTCTTATATACATCAAATGTCCCTTAAGGTCAGGGAATATTATATTGTATTTATTTTTGTATGCTGTGCAGCATCTAGTCTGAGGTAAATATTAAATATTTTATTATTAAAATGTAGTGCAAAAGGTTCTCCCATTTGGGTTTGATAATTGCTGTTTTAATATTATTAACCCTACTTGATATTGGAAGTGGGGGTATTCAAAGAAAACCAGAACTGGATGGACAGTAGAGTTGTATAACCAGATTTTATTCAGGAGTATTGCAATAGAGGAAAAGAGACCTCAGTATACAGCTGGACCCAGTTCCAAATATAACATAGACTAGCGGGGATTGATACCCAAGGAGCAGGGCAGGGGTCAGTAGAAGTGAAATTAATAAGAGGAAACATCAGGGGTAAGGGGAGGATTCTGGCTAAACCATCTTGACACGATCCTTACAGAAGGCATGTCAACCTGATCAGATACCTGGTGTGGGGGTGAAGAATTTAATCATATAGTAGGGTGGGGATTTTTACTAAACTGACTAAAATTAGGTGATGAAAACAGACATGGACGTTCCAAGGTAAAGGCTTAACTGAGAAGAATGTTTAGAGGAGCCCGGGTCATGGGCTCTGTCAGTGGTCGGCAAACTCATCAGTCAGCAGAGCCAAATGTCAACAGCACGACGACTGAAATTTCCTTTGAGAGCCAATTTTTAAACTTAAACTATATAGGTAGGTACACTGTTATTAACTTAATTAGGGTACTCCTAAGGCTTAGGAAGAGCCACACTCAAGGGGCCAAAAAGCCGTATGTGGCTCACGAGCCACAGTTTGCCGACCCACTGGGCTATGTGATTACTAATTGATACTGATAATTACTTATCTCAAGCTTAGTTTGTGTTTGGTCAAAAGATACAAAATAAAATCATCCATTAATTTTACTAATTTTAAAGAACTGCAGAGGGACAAAGAAGGGGAGGTGAAAGAACAACCTGGAGAGACGATGGGCCGGCAGCCTTGCTTACTCCTCTGTGTGCAACTGCTTTGGGGCCTGCTGGAGCCATGCTGGCTATACCCCATTGCAGCGTTTCCCAAATGCTTCTTCCTCCACAGGCCACTCCCACCCCCTACTTACAGCGTCTCCCCCAGGGTGTCACAGAAGACACCACAAGTGTCTCTCAATCATTGGCCCAAAGTGCCACGAGATTGTGGCCTTCACTTTCTCCTGCCATGAGGCTCTCCTGACTTCCTTGGAAGACTGGTGAGTAAGTGGGGGTTTGAGGTCTGATATTTCAGAACAAGTAGCCTTTCTATCCAACTTGAAAAACAAACAGAACACCTTTATCTAGCTGTACCAATGATAATAAGTGCTGGAGTGTCCTCTAGGAGGAAAGTGACTTAAAGTAGTGCCTTGAACTCCTCTCTTCCCCTCGCCCACTTCTCCCTGGCAGAAGTAACTAACTGTAAAGCTGACAAAGAGACTAAACGCACAAGTTCAGCAACCATTTTTACACACTTGAACTCTCTGCTTGTCCATGTGGTAGGCTCTTCCACCGTGGTGAGGTGGCCTAAAGCTTTGAGGAAAAATTAAGTTACTCTAAGACAGGGAAGATTAGCAAACCCATTTGCCTGTAGACACCAGCTACATTTCCCAATCAGCTTTAAAAAGAAAAAACCTCATCTCACAGGCAGGATCAGGATGGTGGCATAAGAGGAGGCAGAGTTTGTCCCCTCCCATGAGCACACCAAATGGACATCTATATTTGAGCAATTATTACTGAGAGATAAGTGAAGAGTTTATGCACACACACAAAAGAGCATAGAGAAGATTGAGTAAACACTGGAGCTCTCCAGAATCTGCGGGAAACCACTAAGTGCAGAAACCTGGTGAGCACCATTCTTTGCATCCTCCCCGCACTTGGATAACATGAGTTGGATCTCTCTGTTCAGGTGCTCTGGCCAACCTGCAAGGGCACCACAGTGCATCCCCAGCCACCCCTCCTGAAAAGAGCTCCATCAATAACAAGAGTGTCATAGCAGATGCACATGTCCACCCCACATGGGGCTTAATCCACAGTGTCCAACAGGGTACAGAGGCATGGGTGCACCAGGCCACTGCTGCACACACCCACAGTGCTGCCCCAGCTGGTGAAAAAGCAGAACGAGCATGCACTACAGCACAGGCACTCACAAGGCTCCCCAGCCCAGCCCAGGCTCCAGCAGCAGTCAACAAATCAACAGTGTATGCCTCACACATACACACAAGCCCAGCTCCACCTGGACTCAGAGGAAGCCGGCAAAGCGCCACAGTGCATGGGTGCTCGTGGAGCTGCCCTGCACAGCACAGACCCCAGTCCCATGGGAGACGATCAAATTAATAGGTATCACCAATGTAATACCCCAAGACCCATACCATTCTTATACGCCAGTAGTGAACTCTCAGAGAGAGAAACTAAACAAACCACCCTATTTACCATCACAACAAAAAATTAAGATACTTAGGAATAAATTTAACCAAGGAGGTAAAAGACCTGTATTTCGAAAACTACAGGACACTGAAAAAAGAGATAGAGGAAGATATAAACAAGTGGGAGAATATACCATATTCATGGATTGGTAGAATCAAAATCATTAAAATGTCCATATTACCCAAAGCAATCTACAGATTCAATGCAATCTCTATTAAAATACCAATGGCATATTTCACAGACCTAGAACACATATTCCAAACATTTATATGGTATAAAAAAAGACCCCGAATAGCCACAGAAATCTTGAGAAAGAACAACAAAGTTGGAGGGATTACAAAACCAGATATCAAGTTTTACTACAAAGCTGCTATACTCAAGACAGGCTGGTACTGGCACAAGAATGGGCATATAGACTAATGGGACAAAACAAAGTACCCAGTAATCAACCCAAGCCATTATTCTCAATATTTGAAAAAGGAGGCAAGAGGATACAATGGAGTCAAGACAGTCTCTTCAATAAGTGGTATTGGGAAAACTGAACAGATACATGCAAAAAGAAAAAGAAAAAACAGAAACTAGACTACAAACTTACACCATATACAAAAATAAACTCAAAATGGATAAAAGACTTAAATATAAGACATGACACCATAAAAATCTTAGAAAAAAAACAGGCAAAAAAATCTCAGACATCTTTCATAGCAATATGTTTACAGATACATCTCCTAGGGCATAGGAAACTAAGGAGAAAATAAACGGTACTACGTCAAAATAAAAAGCTTCTGCACAGCAAAAGAAACCATCAACAAACTAAGAGAACTCACGGCATGGGGG